TGATAGAATATACCATATATTATGTTACTCTTGTTTAGATTTGTTTGGTATATACGTTGGTTAGTTCCTGATTTTGAATAACAAAATAGACTTTATATATTCATGTAATTATTCTGTGAATGAGAAGAGAAATTTCAGAAACTTTCATATATAATATCAAACCCAATAAAATGAATATTTTTGGAGTGTGATTGTTATTTAAAACCGTTTGGTGGTTATTTTTAACGGTTATTTTCAAAAATTGCGTCTTTTCAATATATCCGTTTTGTCAATAATTGCGTCTTTCCGATATAAACCGTTTAATTAAAACTTGCGTCTTTTCGATATAACTGTTTAATGAAGAGTTGCGACTTTCCGATATAACCGTTTTTTCAAGAGTTGTGTTTTTCTTATATAAAACCCGCTTTATGGTTATTTTCCAAGGATCGCGTCTTTTTGGAAAAAAAACTTTGCCTATACAATTGTGTTCCTTTTCCGTTGAACTTTTTTCTTAATCATGACTACTAACTGTTTAATTAACTTAAAGCATAAAAAAGATAAAAAGACATCATTCTATTATTTTGAAATTATTTTTAAATATAGATGTTTTTACTGTTATATTTTAAAGTTAACAAGACTTTGCCAAGAGACGAGTATATATTCCTACATAGCAAAGGATTATGTGAGAGAATTGTAGTATTCGGTGGCATGGTGTTGAAAATAGTGATACTCTTTTTTTGTTTAGGAAGTCTAATAATCATGGAAGTTACTGAGATTTTACAAAAGTTTAAGATTTGTATTCAGGTTATTCTATATATGATTCAAAACTTTAAATCTAAATATAATAGCAAACCCTAAAATATTCAGAATTTTTCGTAAAAAACTGTGTAGTGGTTATTTTTAATAGTTATTTTAAAAAATTGCGTCTTTTCGATATAACCGTTTTGTCAAGGATTGTGTCTTTTCTATATAACCATTTTGTCAAGGGTTGCATTTTTTTATTATAATCGTTTTGTCAAGAGTTGTGTCTTTTTCATTATAACTGTTTGGTCAAGAGTTGCATTTTTTCGAAATAACCGTTTTATGGTTATTTTCAAAGTTTGTGTCTTTTCGAAATATAACCACTTTATGGTTATTTTTCAAGGGTCGCGTCTTTTCGAAAAATATTTTTTTCCTATATATTTGTGTTTATTTACTCTTTTCCGTTGAACTTCCTATATATTTGTGTTTATTTACTTTTTTTCCGTTGAACTTTTTGTTAATAGTGACTACTAATTATCTAATTCACTTAAATCATATGAAAGATAAAAAAATCAGAATTTTATATTTCTATAGACAATTAAAGCAAGTTTTAAATACATTGGAATGCAAGATCAAATTTTTTCGCTCACATACATTGGAATGCAAGATCAATGCTTTTCCTTTAGAATAGTCATCCAGAGAAAAAAGACAAAAGAAAATCAAACCGCTTAGCAGTTAGCAACAAACAAAAAAGAGCGGATCAAGCAAAGGTAACTAAATGCATGGTGACAGTAGAACCGAGTGAAAATAGTTGTAGAACATAGAGAAGATGAAGAGAAAAAGGAAAGAATCGATTTGATGTGTTTGAGACGATATGCTGATTCCGTTTGTTTAGGGATTGCTTTTAATATTTATTGCTGATTTATATTTAAAAGATTGGAGATCATGGGAAAATGGGGAAGAAAAAACGTTTCAGAGATAAATTAAACCTAAATTTGAAAATAAAATTAGAATTCGAAGAGAGTAATGAATATTGAGAGAAACAC